GGTGAAGATTCGCCAGCAGCGCATCGTCACATCCTCCATCGGGCTGATGGCTGGCCGTATGCCTTGCTCGTGGGCCGAAGGGGCGTCGCAATCGGCCGCCTTCCTGGGGCATCTCCGTCAGATCTCCGAGGGCCGCAAGGCTCTTCCCTGCCCCGTGCAGGACGGGAGCCGCATGTTCCTCAACATGCCGCAAGACATGCCGGCAAACGCGAATGGATGGTGGATGCAAGTGCTGAGTTCTTCACACTCGTACACCTGCCATGTCCATCGCATGGAAAGATCTGCGAAGGGGGGAATCTTGAGGACCCGGCACGAAGAACCCTGGAAATGCGAGCGCGGCAAAGCGGACAGCGGAAACCTCAATGCAACGATGCCCCTAGCATTACGCTGGAAACTGGCAATGGGTGTGTGCTTCATTGAGGGCACCCTTTTCGAGCTAATTTCAAGGGAAACATGAACCCAGTGCACGCCCATGTTGGTTGGTGGTGCAAGGAAGCATCGGGAAAATGAAAGCAAGCAAACGGCTTTAGACACTAAACGGAGTACAAGGCAGAAGGGAAACCCGCTGCAGACCAACATGGAACCGCGGAAACAGAAAAGAGCGCATCGACCCGAAACGGCAATTGCGCGCATCAGCTTGATTCAAACTGCCAGCAACCGGAGACCGTTTCTGGGAAGGCAAAATGATCTACCAGGTAAGGACAAGCATTGCCTCAACCAATTGGTCAACCAGCTGTTGTCGTCAAGTTTTCTAGCATCTTTTGTTTCCATGTCATGGAACACCAAACGAGCAACCAGAGTCTCATGAAAAACAACAAGCGCACGAAGCGGGGAGACAAGTGGGGAGATAATTGGGGAGATGATTGGGGAGACAAGCGGGGAGACAAGTGGGGAGACAAGCGGTGACAAGGTGCGGGTCGGCAAGCACAAGCAGGGAGACAAGTGGGAAGACAAGTGGGGAGACAAGTGGGGAGACAACTCGGGAGAGAAATGAGAAGACGTGGAGAGACACGTGCGGAGACAGTGGTTAGACAACCCGGGATACAAGTCGGGAGACAATCAGAAGACAAGTGGGGAGACACGTCGAGACAAGTGGGGAGATAAATCGGGAGACAAGTGTGCAGACAGGGTAAACCATCCTGCGACTGGGAACAATTCTTTGCATGAACAGAGAACCCCAACTACCTTTCGCTGCTTGCGGAAAAATATAGGGGTTTTTAAACCATCGTTCTTTCCAAAAACAGGCCGTTTTTGCCTGGGTTTCCGGAGGTTTTGTAGAAAGAAGGATCCCTGGAAAGAATGGGGAAGGTACCCTAGAAAAAAAGTAAGTAACCTTTTTGTGGGGTCCCCCCATTTTCAGTCAATCCCACCGAGCCCCAGACCACGCGACTGCACGTCCCGGGAACAATTGTAGCACATTGCCTGCCGCTCATATGAATTTGAATCTCAACGGAGGGCCCTTTGGTGGGGCATCAGAACCGGCGAGGCTCCCATTAAACACATTTGAGATGGTACCATGACATTCATAGCAATATGCTTGTCACATAGTCTCTCTAGACTCCCTCTGCCTTGTGCCCGCATGGAACCAGGGCAGAGTCTTTGCGCTCTGCTCTGCACACGCAGCACAAATCCTGAGGCTTAGGAAAGAGACACGAGCGACGATCAAAATCACAAACGGTTCCCCAAGAGGACATGGGACATTTAGCGGTAATCCTCCATGTCCCGAGCGCCCAGTGACAAATCAAGAAATATGGACCAAACAGCACATGATTTTGAGCAGCTACCCTGCCTGAAAATCGCAGCATCGTCTTTTTGAAGTAGGGATTTGGAACACCCCCCCCCCCCCCGAAATTGTGGGCTTCCTTGCGGTGTCCCTTTAAACCAAAGGTGAAACGGGTACCAACTCCAAACTGCACACACGCTTAGCTTCGCTTCCTTCTCCTCTTCGCTGTGGCTGGAGCTGTCCTGAGGCAATGATTATGCCGGAGGATTTGAGTTGACATACCTCCGAGAGGAACCTGAGCCACAATCAAAAAAACAAACACGGCACAAAAATGGTCGTAATCCCAGAACCATGCTTCAAGAACTAAGAAGGCTTAGTGATCCGCAGCGATTTACGGCAAGGGGATCGTCCCTATCCTAACCATCTACCCGAATCGGCTTTGAGCAAGTGGCTCACCTGAGAGGCTCCACTTCTTTCCCCATCGCACGCGGGAAATTGACGAAAATCAGCACTGCATGAGCAATCACTCGTGGCCATGGAGAAAAAATGGGCATCCTTTAGTTGGTGGAGTTAGAAGAACCCTTCCCAAAACGAGGGGAAAAAGTGGCGCCACTGGGCAAGTGGGATCATGAGCAACCATGGTCAAGTTGGGCGCAGAGCATGCCAAGCTGGGCGTCATTTTTGGAGGCCCTGCTTGGATGTTAAGAAACCCAACGGAAGGGCTTCCCTACATACCCACAGCCGTCTCTTGCTTTTACATGGAACACTTTGGTCAGCATAGCTTACACGGGTTGCTCGAAACACCTGACAGGGTCTGCAATTTTGAAGAAACGCCCATCCATATCCACCAACCATGGTTCCTCAAATGCCCAGCTTACCTGTGGCTGGTTTCCGGAGGGTCAGCCTTTGAAATCATTTGTGGGGGTCCACATTCCAATAAAAAAAAGCGTCATGCAACCAGAAGTGGTTGAGTGTCTCAAACTTGAGGGTTCCCCTTTGAAAACCAACCTCAAAAGGTACCGAGCCTCCCACCAGCGATTCCATGGGCTGGTGCACAGACCCCTGTAGAAAGACTACTTTTTTGTTGGTTAGTTGGCCTTTTTAAGCACAAACCCGTGTTCGTTGGGAGGGTACCCCATAACAACAGAACCATCCGGCTGTGGGTCAAAACCCCGGTAAGTGGAAACATGGACCAAAATCTGCGGTCCCCTGTTGGTTTAATTTTGAGCCACACCATCCCGTCCAACGCACCCTCTTCGGGTCATCTGTCCTCCTCCAGCTTCCGCAAATCACGAAGCGCGATGCCCAGCAACAGACTCGCTGCAGCCAGGCCTTGCGAGTCGAACAGGCCGTGTGTGTGTGTGTGTGTGTGTGTGTGTGTGTGTGTGTGTGTGTGTGTGTGTGTGTGTGTGTGTGTGTGTGTGTGTGTGTGTGTGTGTGTGTGTGTGTGTGTGTGTGTGTGTGTGTGTGTGTGTGTGTGTGTGTGTGTGTGTGTGTGTGTGTGTGTGTGTGTGTGTGTGTGTGTGTGTGTGTGTGTGTGTGTGTGTGTGTGTGTGTGTGTGTGTGTGTGTGTGTGTGTGTGTGTGTGTGTGTGTGTGTGTGTGTGTGTGTGTGTGTGTGTGTGTGTGTGTGTGTGTGTGTGTGTGTGTGTGTGTGTGTGTGTGTGTGTGTGTGTGTGTGTGTGTGTGTGTGTGTGTGTGTGTGTGTGTGTGTGTGTGTGTGTGTGTGTGTGTGTGTGTGTGTGTGTGTGTGTGTGTGTGTGTGTGTGTGTGTGTGTGTGTGTGTGTGTGTGTGTGTGTGTGTGTGTGTGTGTGTGTGTGTGTGTGTGTGTGTGTGTGTGTGTGTGTGTGTGTGTGTGTGTGTGTGTGTGTGTGTGTGTGTGTGTGTGTGTGTGTGTGTGTGTGTGTGTGTGTGTGTGTGTGTGTGTGTGTGTGTGTGTGTGTGTGTGTGTGTGTGTGTGTGTGTGTGTGTGTGTGTGTGTGTGTGTGTGTGTGTGTGTGTGTGTGTGTGTGTGTGTGTGTGTGTGTGTGTGTGTGTGTGTCCCGTTTCGCCTTGAGGTCAAGGCAAGCCATTTTGGGGTTGGGGAGGTCCAAACCCGTCTTTTATATGTTTGTGTTTCTTTGTTTCCTGCTGTTTGTTCGACGCATCAAGCATATCAGTGGCACTCAAGAATGCAAGCTCCTGAGTTTCTATGATGGTTTCCACTGCCACCAAAGCAGTACCTTCAGCAACCACCACATACATACCATATAAAGGGCATACCGCGCCCCAAGGGTAGTGGTTTGGAGGAAGTGGAAACCGAGATTTGAGGCCGCTTCAAAGGAGCACAAAGTAGGGCAACACCAAAGCAAGCAGCGACCTGGAGCTGACCGGTCGATGACCACCCCAGGCTGCGCAAGTGGTCAATATCCCAGTTCAAAATTATTCCAAGCGCTTTCTCCCTGTAAGCACTGAGAACACTGGGAAGATTAACCAATTACAATGTGTGGATGACCCTGAATGGGCTCCAACAAAGGGGTTTAGGATCCTACGCACATGACTGTCCTTTGGCGCAGGCTGGAACTTGAAAAGGGCCCGGTGATAGGTGGGAAGCCATCCAAGTTGCATCGCGCGATAAGAGCCGGGCAGCCAACTTGGCGGCGCATGCTCACGGCCAGTCCCACCTGTTTTGCAATCCCAAGTCGAGCTTGGCCGAATCACACGCACTGGCCGGAGTGTCCTGCAAGGATCTCCATCAAGAAGTTGACGCCTGGGCGAGCTACGCAAGGTGCGCTCGTCCGTCATCCCATGTTTGATAGCACGCAAGCCGCTATGTTAATATCAGAGCGAACTGCGCAGCACATGTAAGATGTGAGTGGGTCCTGAAGCGATGTAGTACTCTCTAAGATGTAACACACGCAGCGATAAGCTGCGAGAGCAGGTGTAATTTTACACACCTCCTTGGCTTGCGTTGGTGCGCGCGTCACACAGCTGGTAGCTCCCGAAAACGTACACCCATCCTTGTGGGTCGCATGGGTGGAAGCCGCACGTGTTATCCAACTGCGCTTCTCATGTTCGGGAAGGGCGGCCTCGGAACTGCGAACCCCCGGCAATGTGTTGCGGTGTGCTCCTAAGAGCCGCGCGCCGCGGCCACGTCCGTCCGACCTGTGGGCGTCGGTCTTCTTGATGTACTCCAGGAAAACGGTTGCTTTCTTTCCGTCCTCCTGCCACGGCGCCAGTCGCTGCGTTCTTAGCGGCGTAGGCGCCCTGCACGGTGGCAGCATTGCTCTGCTGTTTCGTTGGCGCAGGTATTGCTGACGCCGGTATCTTGCATGACCCTGCGCGTGTGCAGTCAAGAGGTTGCTGGGTGTACTTGCGCAGATTCTCCTTGCTGGGACAATGGGATTCTCCTGTTGTGGCTTCTGCGCAAAGCCAAAACCCATATTGTAGAAGCTTGGCTCGAGCTTTGGAACTGATCCAACTGTCGGGATCACATGCTGCGCTGCGTCTCCAAATTTTTGACAGGCGCGGGCGTGTCTGTCGATGAGGCGCGCTGCGCGCAGGCGATCCAGGGCCTGAGCGGGCGTTCCAGGCCAATCTCTCTGTTGTGGTTCTGCCTAGTCTGCGCTCTGAGCGTTCTGACCCGAAGCAATGTTCTGCACGCTCGCTCAACTCCTTGCGATTGTGAACTGCACGCTCCTGGATTCCTTGCTGCTGCGTGGCCATTTTTGTTGGCCACTGCTGTGATAAACGGCGTCCTGGTCTGACTGTAGGATGGTGTGTGTGTGTGTGTGCGCGACGGCGTAGTCAAAGAGTGGTCGCTGGTTGGTCAGTTGCGTGGCGATGATCATTCCAGACTGGCACTTGCTACCAGCTGCTGAAGCTGTCTAATCCTGATGACCCCAGTTGTTGTCATAATGCGTGCGTCGCTGTGTCAGTCACCTATCTGGCCGTCGGCGTCGAAGTTGCAGATGTAGATCGCGACTCCGCGTTGCTTGCAATGTGTCCAGGCTCCTTTGCCTCCTCGTCAGTTGTTGTAGTAGCCTTTCCTTCGTCTTGTCCTGTGTTGCTGCCAACAGAACAGGTTGCCTTTGTTCAGGTTGCCTTCTCCGGTTGGTTGGGTGCGGTGCGCTGGTTTCCTCTTCCTCCTTTGTAGTTGCCCGGGTGGTAAGGGTCCTTGGCTGTTGCTGCTGCCGCCTGCTGCGAGCGTAAGTTGGTGAATAATGATGATGCAACCAACCACCAGGGATCTGCTCTGCGGGTAGAGTGCGCTGTTTCCTGCTTGCAGCCGTTTTGATGTAGTTTAGAAGACTTGTGTTGTCGTCGTGTTTGTGTTTGGCAAGTTTCAACCCCCATGTCGCTGAGCTTTCCTTAATCTTGCGTTCAGCAAACTGAGGCGTGGGTAATCGTGTAAGGCGCCCAACGCTTCTTGCAGCACAACCGCCATGTAAACCTGTCGGCTTGCGTGTTTTGTTTGCAAACTGATGGCGCTGGTCCATCGCATGCGCTCACCAAGAGGTCGTGTAAGCTGCTGCTCAGTTGCACCCATTGCTCTGCCTGCGTGGGCGCTGGTTGCTCTGACTGTCTCAGCCTGTTGTGCGCTGGATCTTGTGGTCCAAGGTATGCCGTCACCTTGCACTTTCACACTTGGAATTCGGGTCGAACCGTGGTGGCGCGATCTGTGCTTGCGTGCTCGGTCGAACTGCTGCTCGTGCTACTGTCGTTGCTGTTGTTCCACCATTCCTCTGCTCCGCTACCATGTTCTTTTGTACTCGGGCAAAGCCCGGGCCATTTTGTTTAACAAACTATGTGTATGTGTATATACATATACATATACATATATATATATATATACTATAATATGTATATGTAAATACAGGGGAACAAGCACCTGTCAGGTACGGCTGGGAAGGGATTACTAATACTTTGACGATGCACGCGTCTGGACACGGGGAAAAATGCTGACCGTTGTTTAATGCAAATGATGACTTTGGGTGACCAGGCTTTCATTGAAGAAGTCTTTGATGTCAGTCACTTCAGTGATGAGGACTTCGGTGACATCGTAAGATTCACCGGTGGCCATGTGAGTGTAATGTTCGAGGGAATTTGCTGAGAAATGCAATGTATCATTGCGCATGTGTTCGAAAGATACTTGCTTCGTGGGAAGTGTCCTCACAAGGTTGTGTCTCTCATGTTCCATAATATTGGTCGACGGCAAACGTGCGGGTTTGTCTCTGAATATAATATATATATATATATATATGTATATATATATATTATGTACATATGCTGTATACGTATTATAGTATATGCATACCTCATTCACTAGTCATTGCTCGAAGCTGGTTGCAATATCCATCAAGCCTGGTAGCAAGGAAATCTTACGTGAAGAAATCGGAGGGCGGCCGCACGCATTTCCGGTCGGGAATACTGAGCTTCATCTACTCCAGTGGCTCAAGCGGATGTGTGGGTGTGTGGCGTTTTGTGGGGGATCCTTTTTGGGTTGGGTGAAAGATAAAGCAACAGGAAAGCCGCCAGGTTTTGGATCCCCTATCTTAACACATGCGCAAGTGGGGCAAGCGTTCCCACAGCTAAGGCCAGCACAAGCTGCTGCTGAGATGGAAGTGGCAAGCAACGTGTGCACCACGATCTCAACCTTCAAACTTGTCCGCCGCTAAAATATTGGTCTGATTTGTTGGTCCTTTTGATTGTTTGTTTCTAAGGGAAAACTGAAAAAGAAAACCCCCGTTGTGAAGGGCCGGAGAATTAGACACATTGACACCCACGTGCACAGTCACACCTGCACAGTCCAACTCAAGGGATTCTGTCCTTCGCAAAACAAAAGCAACCAAAACAAAAGACAAAACAAAAAAACGTCGAGCCGAGCTTTTTGCTTGCTGTGGCCTGGCTCAGCACTAAGGTCCCGTGGTATCCCAGCGCAGCAAGCCTCAGCTCGGGTCAAAAGGCAGACCCCGAGCGCGAGTCACAATCAACACCTGGAGTGGTCGAAGGGCCCCGGTTGGTCGTGGCCCATGCCGCCATGCGGCAGAAGCAGGCTTGAGCTCACGCACAGCACCACTGGGCTTCGGCGAAGGTCGAAGGCAAGGAACGACCTTTGATGCAAACCAAACGGCCAAACTGGAGGAATGAAAATCACCAACTCCGCCGAAAAATGAGCGCCAGGCAATGCCGCGACGATTTGCCTGACCGGCACTGTGGCCACGCCGCCGGCAATTTCCCGCGCTGGGCCGTCAGCCAGCCGACTTGCTGCCACGGAACTCTATTCCCGTAGTCCACAAAATCCTCTCTCTGCACACTAGGACCTGAAGAAAATGCTCGAACCGGGCATTTCAGGCAAGGTTGCAGCAGGCCTGCTCACCAGCAAAGCAGACTTCGCTCGTCTGCCTGCGTGCAAGCACACATAGCAAAGAAGGGCATCTGCAGTGGAGATGCTGAGGTCGAGACGCGGTGCCATTCAGCACACTGGCAATCTCCGGTCGGATTCGATGCAAACCTTGCACTTTCGCGTGCTGGAAGACCATTTTGCCTTTTTTGAGTCTGCGCCATCCAACCAACAATCCGAATTCAGGGCAAAAAAATCCTGCCGCCCAGGCACAGCTGAATCTCCTGTGCAACTTGAATGCACTCGTTCAAACACGCTTGGCAATGCTCCTCCTCTTTGCGCGCATCGCGGCATCGGCATCTAGTCCGCTTTGCTGTGGTACATGTGGGTACGGGTCAAAATTCAACCACCAGGGGACAGGTTTTAGTCCTTGGTTCCTTTTACCAGGGTTCCATTTTGGGTACTTATTTTTGACCCACAGCCATGTCTTCTTCTGAAAGTTTGGGGCAAGATAGTCATAGCTCACTTCGCCTAGTGCAAATGGCTGTCTTAGTGACAAATACAAGCTCGAGCCATCGCGCATCACCCCCCAATCTGATCTGCAAAATTTACGATCATTCCAAAAGCTGAATTCAGGGATCCCCAAGTAAAGGACCTTGATCATGGCTGTCGCTCGCTATACCCCCAGGTGAGCTCGCTATTGTTTATTGTTTAGTTGAGGAAAAAAGAGAAGAAAAAAAAACACGGCAGATATCATGTCAAGTCTCAGGCCTCCCAGCCGAGGCGGTTCCAGCGGCAAAGCTTGTCGGAACAGCTGTAGCACACAGTTTGGCTATCTGGCCTCAGGCGGCTGGGTGTGTCTCCAACAGGGGTGGAAGCCTCAAACACAGCAACTAAATGTGTCTCCAAAAGGGTGGAAGCCTCAAACTTTTGAAATGGGCGCTGTCCCTTGGTCTTCCTTTAAACTCACCCAAAAGAAAGAATATCCTCAAAGACACATCCAGCTGCTGACTCTCTCAAATCACTGCATGTCGGAGACAGTCCGCCTCGTGTCGCTCCGGCCCGACTTGTACCGTAAGACTCCATCCCGGTGGAAGTCGATACCATCTGCCTGGCGCCAACTCCATGCAGCATCTAAACGCTTCACTCGTTGGCGCCTTAGGATCTGTAGGCATGCCACGAGATGGTTTGGCACCTGTCCTCAGCAAAGTCGCAGACTTCGCCACATGCCAGACTTCACAAGCCGCACCAGCTCAGTCCTGTTGCGGTCTTGCAATTGCACCGGCTCGGTCTCCTGCAAAACATGTCAAGCTTCAGGCCAGGCACCATCCAGCGCAGACTCGGTGTGAAACATATCCATGGCCGTGGAAATCTATCATACACAACCCCTCCATTGCCAAACGGCAGCACCTGATGCCCCCCCCATTTTGCATGGATAAGAGAGATCCTGCAAAAACATATCTCAAATCTTTACCGACCCCTGCCTCCGTCAGCTTCCTCGCCAGCGTTCCCTCCTTGCTGCTCTGCAGCGGCACCAGCGTCTGGGCTCAGAGGCGAGGGCGCGAGCGCCAAAAACCCGCGGGCTGAGCATTCCGCGCACTCCCCACACGGCAGGGTGCTCACCTAGGCCGCGGCCATCGGAGCGCCCCAAAACAGCCGGTGATTTGGATGTGGCCAAAAAATACTCCATCCAGACCAAAGAAAGGCTCAAAGCCAAGGGGTACTTATATACTCCAGACCAAAGCTTCAAATCCAAACCAACCCAATCCAATGGCTACAGTTCTCGAGGTTTCGGCCCGCCGCTGCCAGGTCTCCGAGGCGCCGACATAGAAATGCAGATCCGCGGCCAAGCCGAACTGCAACTCCTGCAATTCGAGGCGCGCGCTCGATCCGCGCGCTCGATCCGCCGGCGATCAAGGCCTTCCCGTTTCCGAGTTGGAGCCTTTTCACCCTTGAAAGGGAAGCCAGAAGGAAAAAGGATATCACCCCCATTGTGGGGGGTCAACTGCGGTTTTTGGGGCGTCCAACTCCCCATTTTGACACATACCCCATCTGTCCTCGCCCTGAAGCCGCTCCAGGATCGGCTTCCTAGCCTTCCGGGAGGGTACCCCCCTTGGGCCTCGGTTATTAAATGGACACCAACAGGAAAACCACATTTTTGCGGGGGTCAAAGTCCCGATTTTGATGCAGAGTGCGCAAACCTCCAGCGCCTGATGACCCTCCTGCTGGCTTCCTACCTTGGTCCACGCAACGGACTTTGGCAAAGCACTTCAAAAACCCCCCGGAATCGCCTGCCAAGCCATCTCTGCCAGAAGGAAGCGATGGAATGCTCGCCGGCAAAGGACCTTGAGTCAGCTTACCAGGACTGTGATTGAACTGTCCTAAAAAAGCAAGAACCATCCCAAACATAGCACCTGTGAGGTGCCTGGAAGATCAATTTCCTCAAATAAACCCGTGTGTCAGGTGCTAGGGCAACGTGCGAGGGTATTCTTTCTCCAAGAGCCCCGCTTCAGCGTGACAGTCATGCATCACCTGCTTTCGGTTTCGTTCGCGCTGCTTCCCGTGTCTCTTTGACGATCGCCTGCCCGCCACCGGCCACCATTGCAGCAAGACCCACACAGCGGGTGCCAGTTGCGAGCGCCTCGGCATTGAAACAAAAACTCAAGGCTCCGGACAGCTGTGCCGACACGTGATTTCTCCTTTGGCCGCAGGTACGAGGGATGGACTTCACCAATGTCGACATCTATTTCGATTCAACACTGCGCCGAATTTCGCGCAAAGTGATGCAAGGCCCCCGCAAGGATGACAAATGGGTATTCTTGGAATGCTCCTTTCTATCAGTCTCACTGCCCGAAATCCCGGTGGCTGCTTGACTGAAGGAGAATGCCCTCGAGTCTTTGCTCTTGGCTGGCAACTGGCACAGCTCAATCTGAATATGAAGACATGTTGTTCCATAGCCGGGGGGTCTGGACTAGTCTGCTGCAAAGTGCTCTTAGTGCGCTGTTTCCCAAGGTGTTGCCCTTCGAATGAACAACCGAAGCCGTTTCTTGAACAATAACCCGACATGTTGAACTGCCAACCCGAAACCCTAAAGTAAGGTTGCCCAAGAATCCCTCTGCTCGCTCAACGCTCACACTGCTCCAAGAACTTTAGGCTAGCCATGACCGAGCCTCGGGCTATCACCTCCAACTCTCCCTTCCTCTCCGCAACAATGCCCGCCAGCACTGTCCAAGCCTTGCCTCTCGAGTCGCTGGCTTGTGGACGCGAGACGCGAGTCGAGTCGACTCAGTGCCTTGAGGCTTCGCCCGCCCTGGTAGCCCATCATAACGATCAATCACAGCCTGCCACGGCATTTTTCGATAACACGCTGCGCTTTGAGCGCTGGCCTGTGCAACACGGTCATGCAAAGCTGCGGTCCTCACTTGATTCACCTTTCTCACCCATACTCGCAGCTCGAATGTTTCGCATGCTTCAGTCCTGGACACCTGCATGTCATGCTGGATGGGTCATCGGCTCATCCTCTTGACTTGCCGCTCTGGAGATGGGAGGCTTCTCTGAGCCGTATCTGCGCCAACAGCACAGTTTCTATGATGAAACGCAAGAATTCACGACGAACAGGCCAATGCGCAGCGAAAGAGTGCCCATCATCTCATTCGAGCGCCTTTTTCGAGAGCTGCACGACGCGCAGCTCAAACAATGATGTCTACATGCGATGAAGGCATCGATAGTTTCAGAAAGCCTTGGACGTGGCTGGACTGACATCCACCGATCGACTCTGCAAGAGATCTCATCAGTCTGCAGCTGAGGCGCGACTGTCCCCTGCTTCAACCTGTCCCACGCTTGCTCCCACGCAAGGCAAACAGTGCCAGCACCGGCCTCCAAAGCAAACTCCTGCCACGCCAAAATGTTCAACTTGAGCAGCAAGAGACAGATTCGCGACACCCGCGAGCCTCCCCTGCTCGAACTTCTGAACTGGGAAGCGGCTCAGACCACAAGTCTTGGACGTGCACTGTACTGTTCCTGTCAAGTTCCAGCTGCAATGCAACGTGGCATGAGTTAGGTATGAATATGCAAAGAGTACTCATTGCACCCCAGAACATGCTCCTCGGAAAAGGCAGCTTCTCCCAGCAATCAGCCGAACAAACCACCTGGAGCTGCATCTGCGTGTGCGTGGGTCTCTGCTCAAGACAAAGGCCAGCACCGACTGGCGGAAAAGCCATGCTTGGCTGACGAAGAGGATCGCCCATCCTGGCGACTCAGAAGCGGAAGGCGCACATTCCGCCGGTCCAGCGCACCATCCACCAATTGCCGGCCCCAAACGTAGGCGTCGCCTCCGGCAAACAGTCAGACGGCTCGCATCCAGCTCCGGTGCGTGCCTCGACTACATAGAAGACCACCTTGCTTGGCCAGCGGATCTTGGCTAACCTTGCAGGGTTCGTGCTGGCAGACGCAGACATGCCTTCTCGCGCCTTAAGAACCTCCGTGTTGGTATAGGTCTCCTCAGCGTATGGGGGTTGATGTATTCCTGGCCCCCAATGGTGCCATCAACCCCCATAAGTACCCTGTTTGGGATTGTTGTGAAGGGAAACCAAAAAAAATCCGAAATGCATTTCAGTTTAGCCGTGTTAGTAGAGCGCGATTTGCTGACTTTGGTGAATTATTTCAATCAGTCAAGATTCATCGTTAGAAGACTACCCCCCAATATGTTTATCCTGCCCTGAAAAAACACACCCAAAGGCTTGTGTCGAAATCCCCTTGCTGTCCCATCGCATGCTGGCTCAGATTCCAGATCAAAGGTGGAGAGCTGACGTACGTCAGCACCAAGAAGCATAGGAGCCATCAGAATGGCCCACATGTTGAACCTCGCCATGCCGACTGGTTGCGTTTGCTTTATGCCAAGTTTGATTCCAGCCAGGCACTTGGGACTCCTGAAAAATGCCGAAAAATGCATCCAACGGGTCTTCCTTTGACTTCCCCTTCAACCCCAAACAACATCCAAGGGCGCCCGGAAAAAACCACGAGCCGCGCTCTGCCGGCATGACACTGTGTCCGGCTTCCCTTCCGCGAAAGCCGCCGCGCGGCTCCCGGCGAAGACCCAAGCCTCGGACATCTTTGGGAGATGGGGCCCGCCAAAAAATGGCCGACGTTCGTACCAAGGACCCAACAAAAAAATGATACCCCATGCAAACTGAAGCCATGCTGAGGGTTGCGCAGCATGTCAGGATCATTGAACCCACCTGCCGTATGTTCACGCGGCCAAACAAGCTCTTTCAGGTTGATTCCAAAGGCCAAGCAGGCACAAATTGTCGCTTGTGGTGAAGGGGGGCTCATTTGCCGCATGCGCCCCGTGCCTGGTCCGGCCTGCTCTGCCAAGCCAGCATCCACATGCAAGGAAAACCTCAGCGTGAGACCTCCAACCCCAGCAAAATCCAGAAGTGGTTATGGGTCAACGTTAAAAAAACACCATGGAAAGGCAAGTTTTAGCCATTTTGTCATTTACCAAGGCATTCGATTCTGGAAGTTCCCGGGAGCACCCCAGCATGCTAACCCCAAAACTGAGGGTCGTAACCGCTTGACCGCTTGTGCCCAAACCGCAGCTGAGATGATCATATATTGGCCTGAAGACTTTGGTATGTAGGAACAAATGGGTATGGGTCAAAATTAAAGCACCAGGGCACCTCAGGTTGTAGTCCATTCCATTTGCCAGGGTAACCCAGTTTGGGGTTTCCCTATTTTTGACCCACAGCCAAATGGAATCGCTCTCACTCCGAAAACTGCCTGGGCGCTTGAAGGTCAAGGACCCCGTCACGTCGCTGGTAACTCGCCAGGAGTTGGCCAACGACTTTCCACCGCGAGGATCCCGGGCGTAGTACCTCACACACGGGGCGATGAAGTTGGATTCGGACACCCCTCAAATAGTGGGCAAGAAAGTGGGGGGGAAAAACCGGAGCGCGAGTCTGTAAACCAAGGCCTTGCGGGTTCTCCTTTCGGTGTTCCTTTGATATTTCGACGACCACCTCAAAATGCTTGGCGGACACCATTTGCAGATCCACTCAAGGGTCCCCGAAAACTCATACCCGCCAAACGGGAGCCTTCCGGATGCCCGGAAAAAAAAAAAAAAAAAAAAAAAAAGCAACGACCAGACACCGATGACCTGGTGAGGCCTTCAGCCCTGAGGCTCCAACGAGAGGTTGGCAAATGGCAGCTGGTCGCCTCCGCCACATACCTCGACTGACAAAATTCGGCCGAAACCACACAAACAGGTGCTACCCGCATTAAAAAGAAGACATGAATGGATGCGCAAAGAATTGTGGCTTCACAACTTCACAAGGTCTGTCAAGCATGGTCACCGCCCAAAACAGATCTGCCACAATGTCAGGCCACTTTGCTGTCTGCAGTCAAAAGACCGAAAAAAAGATGGGTCTTCCAGTCTTGTTCAAGGCGTCGCGGAAGAGCGCGAATTGCTCAAAGAGCGTGTCTTTGTCGTTTGCGCCGGATGAACTGAAGCAATTGTCCTGGAAAACAAGCTGCGCTGAGCGCTCTGACATCCCTGCGAAAATGGCTCACAACACGCACTCGCCCTGGAGAGAAGATGAGTTCAAATGGGACGCTTCTCAAGATGGTGAATCCCCTTTTGGTGGAAGGAACGTATTCTTGGTGTCCAAATTAGCGCCTTGACGGTTTTGCTTCCTTTTTTGGGGAACCAACACGAAACCAACCGTAGGGCTCGACGATTTTGCAAAGCACCCAAACGTGGCTACGTGAGCGGAAGGAGCCATTCTTAGAATTGCAGCGGCGCACTACAAATCGAGCCTCCTTCACGTAGTCCACCCCTGAGCCGGCCACAAACATCCTCGATCCCATTCGGTGCAAATCTGAGCCAAGGCTCCCCAGTCGGCGAAGGTTTTAGCATCCAGGTATTCGTTGCCTGCAAAATCCCAGAGCTCGAAATCCCCCAGTGAACATCCGATTCAATCCAACCACTAAAATAGGTTCTAAAATGGGTGGTGCACCGAAAACCCCAAAATGGTACCATTGGTTTTGACCCACAGCCATCCAAGAACTCCTTTGTTGCATTGCCATTGCCATTGCAGTGCAGTGGAGCACGGCATTGCATCGCACGGCATCACATTGCATCGCATTTCGCATTGTATGGCATTACACTACATAGCATTTCATTGCATTACATTGCATTGCATGACATTGCGGTGCGTTGCGCTGCGTTGCGTTGCATTGCTGTTGCGTTGCACACACATCAGTATTTTTTTGTCAGCATCTCATCGCGGAACGAGATGAGACCTCGTTCCTCGCGCCCCTTCGGCCTTCGCTGCCTTCTCGCCCCGCGCAGGTCCTTTTCCCTCGATCCGTGTAGATGCCAAATTTGAAGCCTGGACACTGATCACCGCGAGTTCGGCGATTCGGGGTTGAAAAGGCGGTCCAAAAAATGAGAAATGAGAAGTCGGGGGTCAAAAGAGGGCCACCCCAAAACAACCGAGGATTTCCTGTTTGCCTTCAAACCAAGGTGACAAGGGAAACCTCAAATACAGCGGCACGTGATATGTCAAGACTGCTGCGCCTTTGTCGTGCAAGCGCTGCGCGAGCTTCGGCCTGAGCTCCATGTGGGGCGAGCAAACTGCGTCAAGCAGAAATTGATCCCAAATGGCAGAAATTTCTAGAGTATAACAAGTCAAGCTCCCTTGCTAAGTTCTGCGGGTGTTTGCACATGTCCTGCGTATCACATCTCAGTTTGCATTGGTTGATCCAAGTCACATCCCTGACGGGAAGCGCTTGGGATCCGCCCTCAAACGGCCAGTTGTGGGATCTCTCCCATTTGGGTCTTGCCAGCAATCGTCCAGGTTCACATACCTGGGCCGAGGCCGTCCCTCTCAGAGGTCAAAAAAACAACCATTTTTGCGACTGTGGTATGGGTCAAAATGAAAAACCGCCTGGAATTGGACCGCAGGTGTTAGTGCATGTTTCAAATTACCAGGGTTCCCATGTTGGGTGCCTATGATTGACCCACAGCCATGTTTCTGCAAAGTTGCGTGTACCCTTTCTGCATCAATCCTTTGCTTTGCAAGGCATCTGCAGCACTCAAGACGGCCTCCTCAGACATTCCCGAGCATGACAAATCCTCGGAGATTCGGATCGTGGCAGGCGTCTGAGGTCTGACGCGGCGCGCGCTTTTCTGCAACCGAGAAGCATTCCAAGTGTTGTACCCCAATGGAGGAAGAAGCCTGTGCTGCACTCTCATGCACCCGTGCAAGCGCTCAAGAAGCTCGCATGCAGAAGTGAGCCACAGTCAATATTCGTTGTCCCCAGCTGACATGGGAATTCAGTGAGCAATTAACCTCCATTTCTTAATGCTTAGTGAGTTTGCCCCATGCCATTCCCTCTACTACTGACGCGTTTAATATTGACTGTCGCTTGTGTTCAGCGCAGTAAATCGCCAAGCTTCCCAACTCCATTATCAAGCGCATTGGCTGACCCAAGCAGTGCTGCCAATGCAATGCGCCGCGTCATGGCGCAAGAAAATGCCAAGCTCAGCTATATGATTCGGCGCACCAGAGCAGCAAATCGCAATATCGCAGTACTCAAGATCAATCAGGGCATGGTTCAGGCGCAAAGCCATAAGGCAGGCAAATTGAAACGTGTGGCGCACATGAAGCTGCCTTTTTTGTTGCGCTGTCATCTCTCCAGCCCCTTCCTCGTCCTTTCCCTTTGCCTTTTGCTCCTTTCCCTTCGGAATCAGGCCTGCTCAGCACATGCGAGCAAGTGGCGCGTTGCACATAGCCCAGAGTGCACCTCTCATCTCCCTTCTCCAGCAGCCAGCTCGGCTCACTGTTGAACTCCATTGACCCGCCTGGCAAGAGACTACACTCACATTTGAAGTACCTTTTGTTAGGGAAACGCAGAAACAGGTTTTCCTTTTGGTTTCCCTTTTAAATGCACAAAACAAAAGCATGAATCATTGAAGAAAAAACTCTTTTTCTGAGCCAAAATGAACCTGGCCTGGCACGGAGGATGGCTTCATGATCTCTTTCACACTCATGCCCAGGCGCGCAGCCTTGCGGGCCATGCGCTCCTCGTACTTCCTGACGCGCCATCGGCAAAGCTCTTTTTGCTCCTTTTCTGTACCGCGTGTGTGGACCACGGCTGCTGCAACGGCAGTACGGCTTAACCCCACCCCCCACTGCGTCACCGAAAACCTTTGGCAGAGCCAGATCCTTACACTTCTCATCTGAGAGCTGCCAAGCTGGCGAATGGCGGCTGCAAATGTTCCAACATCAAAATGCCAACTCTGCAACGTCGCACACATGCGTCTGCGACGCACGTCGCGCGAGCACCAGCAGCGTAGTAAGCATGATTGACATCACCACCTGCGCGATCAACCATTCCACCCAACTCTAAATTGGCAACACCCATTCTGAGCTTTGGGGAGACAGCTGGCCGACGGCGCGCAGCACCATTGCGCAAACGCATCTGGGCTCGAACATCTGGGCACAGCAAAACACGCGCAGCTCTGCGAGGGGCACGCTGCTATCATTATTCATGCATCCCAAGGACCGACCATAGCTATGGCGGCGGCCGTTGCCGAGCTTTGCGGAGCTCAGCTTGATACACGCCGTGGAGTCTGCTCTAAGGGGCAAGACATTCGTATTTGCGAAAGTCCATCTCCCTGGCAAGCCTGTCAGCATATCCAACCGACCCCCTCGACTTGCTGATTGCAACCAGACTGAGGTTTTGCGGGTCATTCCGATCCAGTTGTGGATCTTTGGGATGCCAGCACCCGATCAACCATTCCGCTCAGCTCTCTAAAGGGCTGATTCGGGCCTAGGCCCAAAGCGCGGAGACAGAAGCACACGTTGACTCCCATGACGCATGACGGCACTCAGACCCAAGCCGCCTTTGGTTGCCCGACAGCCCGAACTGAACCCCCGAGCCTGCGCCGCGTTCCACGCCAGAGTCGCCCCTCCAGCGCTGCTTTTCCGCCCACACCTTGCACGACAATATCCGAGAAAGGCATCCGAGTCAAGGCGGCGGGCTGGCCCTTCCTCTACCGGAATGAATGGCTGAGTCCCGTAAGTCAGCGTAGCCCGCTGATGCGCAAGAGATCTGCACGGCAACGAGTTGCCCGACTACAGGACACATCCAACAAGAAGTCAGACGGGCACTTTGCAAGCAGCACCCGTCTATCACAGTCTCGACGCGAAGGGCCATGACAGCCACTTGTGCCAGCGCAACACCACAAAACGAATCAATCTCAGGGGCACGACCAGGCAGCGCGAAACGGAACTCTTGGTTCAAGCCCCGCGCTCATACAGCTCGTCTTAACCAGCACGCAGGCAAACCAGAGCCCAAACGCAAAGAAAACAAGGAAACGCATCAAAACCAGCTGCCACGCCGCTGCATTCCGTGATGCACTGCTCGATCCAGGCGTGCGTCAATCTGGCAGCGCCGGCAAGTCCGGTAGGAGGGCAAGCACACACCACCAAACAACTGCGACTGAGACTGCTCCAGACGCACTGTAAGCGCAACTGCTGAGCCGACTGCGCTGTATCTGCGGCACACATTTGAGGTCCACAAGGTTCACTGGAGGAGAACAAGACTTCTGATCTCCCCGGCGCAGGTGTGGACATGTCACCGCCGCAAAACACAACGCTGACCAGGTCTGCTGGCACGCGCGATGGACGACGATTGGCCACAAAAGGCTGCTTCCACTCAATCGTGGCCACTCTGCGCCATCCAACTCCTCTGCTCACGGCCCTGAGGCCTGCGCTGCAACCTAGGTGAAAAAGGCTGCTGCTGTGCGCGCGGCCTCATCTCATGCACCCTGCTTACCTCATCCTGGAGAACTGTCCTAGGGCTATCCACCTCCTGCACCACCATAACCACCGCTCGAGATCGGCCGGCACAGCCCTGCCGGCTTGGCAGGCTCTCTAGCCCAGGCTCGGGTCAAAGCTCCTTATGTGGCCTATGGTCACTTTTCCTCAATAGGACTCACTATGATGTGATTTAAGGATCCTCACTACATGGATGACCGTCCCTGCTAACTGGGATTCATGTCCACCAACAACTTTTGACTGTTCATGTCCCTGTCTCTGTCCCGAACGCCAGCTGGTCCATGCACAAATCAGGAAATGTTGACCAAACCGCACTTGACTTGAGTTTGAGCAGCTGCACGACGTGAGAATCAAAACATGTTGTTTTGCTACAGCGGACCCTCAAAATGTTGGCTTTCCTTTTGGCTCCCCTTCAAACCCAACACACAGAGTTTGTGGCCCAATAGCGAGGTACCCTTTTGAACTTTTGACCCCAAGGTTTGTAGAAAGAACCCCCATCTGGGGGTTCTTTTCTGAGCCACATGACGCATCGCAAGTCGAGCCTCCGGCACTCTAACTCATAGGCTTGTTGAGCTCGCGCCTCTCGATCCCTGCGATTCGCCGATTCGCGACTGGCAAACATCGGAATACAACCCATCTAAACCAGATTGGACCCTTACCAAACCTAATTACAACCCATCTAAACCAGATTGGACCCATCAATTTCCTGAACCCAAGCCAAAGTGGAAACCTATGAGAACGGCATCTGCAAGTAAGAGGTGCTGCCAAGCAAACCTAAGGGAAACCCAAACCTAAAAGGGAAACCTGTGAGAATCGCTAGAGACTGCCTGGAAGCAATACCCTCGACAGGTCCGGCGTCCGGCGCGCCTCTGCTCCTGCTCCTTGCTGACCTGAAAGCTCTCCGGGCGGTCCCTGAAGCCTTCAGCCTGGCTCCGGGCTTCGTCTCTCTGCGACTGGCGACTGGCGACATGGCGTCATGGGCTTTTCAAAACCCAAAGCGGTGAATTCGCCCCCAAACATCCGATTCAATCCAACCACGAAAATAGGTAACCCAAAAATGGGTGGTCAATTCACCTATCCCAAAATGGTACCGTTGGTTTTGAAGCATGGCCACATGGGTGTGGGTCAAAATGAAACCACCAGGTGACCGCAGGTGTTAGGTCCTTGGTTATTTTTACCAGCGTTCCATTTTAGGTGCCCATTTTTGACGCACAGCCACATGCCCAGTTGAAGAAACCCGGCCTTGGACAACATCTTCTTCACCTCCTGATGGAAAATTTGTTGGAACCCCGTTGCGGGTACGGCCGAAAGGTATTTCGGGAAGAAGATGAAACGGGAGATCCCCGCTATCTCTCAGAAAGGTATTTCCTGAAGGTAATAACATTCGTTGAAAGCCCTTTGTGAGAGATAGCGGGAACATGGGCAGTCCCCCATGTTTCACGGCCAATTTGCTTGGCTTGAGCACAAGCCCAAACAGCTCCCAAGGTTTCAGCTGCCTCCAGCGAGGAGGCCGCCTTGAAATCCTCGCCAGCTGGTCTGCTGCTCTGAAAAAACCGAAACCACGCCAGCCTCCAACATCTGGAAGGCAGTGAGCTCCGCTTTGGCCATCCGCCGGCAGTGAAAGATGAGAGTGGACCTGAAACCGAAAAGATCCGGAAAAAAAATTGCCATGGGCTGCATAACCTATGGCGATCCCATTTTGGGGTGGATGAACATCCATTTGCCGCCTATGTTGATGTTCACCAGGGGTACAGGGTTTTGCAAATGCGAGAAAGAAGACCAATCCAAGAACCCTGCAAGGACGGCGCTGGCGGGTACTTTGAGACAGTTGCCAGGTACTGCCGTGCTTTGACCAGGCCGTCCTCGCTGGCACCCGGAAGCGCCACGGCTCTACGTGCAAGTGTCCTTCGGCAGCGCGATTGCCGGCACAGCTTCCTCAGAGGTATGCAACACCCCGTGACTGGAAACCATCTTTTCTCAAGCCCCCGACACCGGACGCAATGCGCTCTTGCAGCTTCTTCCGCTCCTGCCACGAACTTGCGACTCGCGCAACAGCTCGACAACTGTTCCATGCCCCACCTGGCGCAAAGCTTTCCGCGCTTCCACCTCAGGTTGAAACAGTTTAGCTCGCTCGACTCACCTCGCAAATCGGCAGTTCTCCCGTGCCTTCTGCCTCTCCTGCAAAGAGAGGATGGTGCCAGAAGCCTTTCGAACCAAAACGTAGATCTCCAGCTGCAGAACGCAAGGGGTGGCAGGCCTGCTTGTCCATCAGGTGCTTCACTTGGCGAAGCTTCTTCTCAACCTACCGATGCCATCTGAGTATGAACTTTAAATAAGTGACCCTTTGGTGGATCATTCACATGGGGATCCATGTCCACCAATCGCTTGAGGTGGTTCACTATTAAAATTCATTGCCATCTGAGTCTTCACCAGGTACTCCAAGGGTCTACCCACGGGCGGATATAGCACCTGTTGGTTTAACCTTCACTCACCCGAGTCTGCCCGGAGCCATACCCTACTTCCCGCTTCGCCTTCCGCAGCTCTTTCGGCGAATCTTCGCTGCCTGTCACTCGGCGCGCAGCTTGTGGCGGGCGTCCTTTTTTGAGGGTACCCCAACCAACAGGAAAACCACTGAATTAGGGGGTCCCTGAAAAGAAGGATCTGTTTGTAACCTTTCAATCCTTGCAAGCCTTGCGGGCTCATGAGACATGCGCGTTATCCGAAAGGTTAAACGCCTGAGGGAAGGAACTAATGTTGACCCGGATGAATGGGAGTGCTCCTCCAAAAGCGATAAAACGAATCCCCACTAAACCCAGGCACACTAAATGCCTTCTCCTTTCAGCGCGTCTGCGAAGAGGCAGGGATCATCCAGCATTCCTTCGGCAGACATCACCTGAGTCACTTGCTCAAAACCCGGTCTAAAAATTGTCTACCCAGTGGTAAAATGGTAACATGGTGCCGGTGGTAAAAATGGTCGTAATCCCAGAACCATGCTTCAAGAATTAAGAAGCCGGATTCCCGCAACGATTCCAAGATTTCTGGCTGGGACTGCCCTTCACTAACCTAACCATCTACCCGAATCGGTTTTCATTAAAACGTCCTGCCGAGATTCCGAGCAAATCGATTGGCGGCGACTCCATCGGCTGGGGGCCTGACCCCGTCGGCCCCGGTGGATCGAAGGTTCGCCACCACATCTCCCTTACGAGACGAGGTGTGACAACAGGGATCCGGATGCATGAAAAAAACACCACATTGCAACCTTTATTTCGGCGTTGAAAAAGCAACATGTTTCAAATGGTTGCAACATGTATCTTTTAAGGAGCCCTAACATGGGCTTTTCAGAGCCATGCTGCCAGGGAGCCCACGACTTGACGTTGCCATTCGCAAGCACCGGGACCTTCACCACTTTCTTAATGATTGCAACCTTAGCCAGGGCAATCAAAAACCGATCGCAAATGCAACGGTAATCCCAGAAAAATATTGAAGAAGGCCGCAGCGATGGTTGGGACTGTGCCTCGCTAACCTTCATTTACCCGGGTTTTGATTGTGACTCGCCTTGGCTGCATTGATGGCCATGCCGCTGTCACTTCCAGGCGGATCAGCAACTGATGCTGATACAAGCACCATGCCACTCAAGTTGCCAATCTGCAGTAATTATTCATGCTTTGGGTTACAGCTGACAAGGGGGTTCGATGCAATGGCCTCAACCGGGCAGGCCATGACTACAGAACCTTTTGCCAAGCGTGGCACACGTTGGGAGCTCTCGAAATGATGGGTCACCTTCCAGTTGGGATCCAAAATGAAAATAAACAGGAAACCATGGGTGTCCTTTTTGGAAAACAGATGGCCCTGGTAGATGATTGAACCACAAGGTAAACCAGGGCCCTCTATTTTTCAAGCAAACCAACGGAAAGGGACACCTAGATGCAGGAAACCAATCCTTGGCTGTCTTCAGATCCCCTGCTAACAGCTTCACTTTTCGTGGGTCAAATAGAAACCCAACCACTAAACCAACCAGCAAGATCCAAAAGGCTCAAAAAAACAAATGGCCGGGAGCCGCGACATCCATCGATTCCTTTGAGAAGCCAACGAGTGGCCTGGTCCAGGTGGGCGGGTCCGTCTCTCCGATGTGTCGGGCTGCCGCGGTAGCGGGCGTGCACCGCGATGAGGCTGGCGCCGGAGGCCTCGAGCGTTACTCGTCTCAAGAGGGTAGTCAGAATTAAACCAGGAATTGGACCACAAGTCTTAGTCATAAACTCTCCATTTAGGGTGCCATTCTGGGTACCTATTTTTGACCCACAGCCAAGAGTTTTTGTGGGCTTTCCTCTTGATTTGGTCATGGGTCAAAATCCAAATCGTACCCCCAGTGAACACCCCAAATAGGTTCTAAAATGGGTGGTGTATTTACCCCAAAATGGTACCATTGGTTTTGACCCACAGCCATTCCCCAAGGGTAGCTTCAAGACACCCACTTGAACCTGTCAAAGGCTTCCACTTGATGTCCCATTCAAAAGAAAACAAAAACAACAGGGGTAACAAAATACACACCTCCTTTGCACCGTGCAACGCTTCGCCTCCAGCTGCCTGACCAGCTGCAGTGTCTCCTCCAGGCTGTCGAGCAGCCGGATCTTGCAAAACACCGGCACGGGAAGCCCCTGGCTTCAGAAGAGAGCTGCAGCCCAGCGAATCCAATCACTTGCCGAGACCCAAGAACATCACTAGATGTCCCACAAAAAAGTGCAACTTTCTTGTGGGCTCCAGTGACACTGCCATTTTTGGGAGGTCCAAAACAGGCAAAAAGTCGAGCCCCTGAAACAGACCGAAAAAAAGCTTTGCCTCGCCTCGGACAGGCGCTTCACGATGCTGCACACCAGCTGTCGGTCCTCCGGATCCAGGAGATAGGACCCGAAGTGCTCTGCATGGGCCTCGGATCGCTCGCTGAAGCGGAAGCGCTCTGGGCATAGGTGTCCTTTTAGGGGACATAGGTGGGTTCCCTGGTGGATGAAAACAAAACACCAAATGAACCAGGAATCGCAAGCTATGTTTCTACCAAAACAACCAAAAAGGACATCTATGGCTTTGGGTGTTTGGGGCGCGAGTCCAAGCCACGGGGGATAAACGGACTCCCAGACTTTCGTGAATGTGTCATCCTTACAAGGGAATTGGGATTGTGGAACATGCAATTGTCACGCCGGGAATCAATTTGGGGGGTTTCACCAATGAACCTAGGGCCTTGCTCAAAGGAAACCAGTTGGCTGGTTCGTTTCGGGCTGAGTCCTCCATTCCCCGCTGAGAACCACCAAGTATGCGGGCCTACCCAAAACTAGGAAATCGGAGACCAAGAACTGTCACGATGGCACTTCGCCTGGATGGTTGCAAACCATGGCGCACGTTGTTCAAATGTGCTGATGACAGTACACAATTGTGACTTGGGCAAGACCTCCACTCCAGCCAAATGGCTATCTGCATTCTTTCTTTTGGGGTTTGCAGACTGCGTTCTGCTTCAAGGTACCGTTGGAAAACTCCTTCTCTGTGAATTAGGACACTTTGCTGGGAACGTCGCTACATCAGCCCCATATCTGGCATGCTTTGGCTGTCTTAGTGAATCTTCCATTCGCTCTCCTCCAGGCATTTTGCCTAAGCGGACGCACTGGATAAGTGTTCTGCAAGGGATTGACACGGATTGACCTTGTGCACTGTGCTTAGACCTGTAAGGTCTGTTTGCAAAGCTCCAAGCTGAGACCAAGTATTTGGGACAAATCCTTGGATGTGCAGCATGGGCTTGCGTTTCTTGGCGAGGCCAGGCTCCGCAGTACCATCAAAAATTATCACTATTCACCATCCCCACCAAAATGATCACCATCACCAGCATCCTGAGCAGAAGCATTAGCATCATGATCCTCTTCATGCCGATGACCTGGTTATCATCATCAGCATCATCATCATCATCATCAGCATCATCCTCAGTTCTCAAGAACAATCCTGCTGCACGCGGCTGACTGCTGTCCCACCCCCCAAATGGACTTAAACCCCGGACCCCTTTTTGGGAAGCCATGAGCAAGCCCTGGGTTTAGAGTTGACATGTCATGTCCATTCAGGGTACAGGTACAGTTGTTTGGCACAATTTCAACCACCGGGTTTAATTATCTTCCCCTTCTGGACATAAAAGGAATTCCAGACCTCGTTAATATGTCATCCTTACCCACAAGAAAACTCGGATTCTCAGACTCTTTTAGAACATCCCCTCAACTTACCAAGGGAAAGCGGCATCCATTTTGGACTTCCAAGGAAACCACCCGTCGAATCCTCAAGTTCCCGGCCACTCGCTGTGGACAGCCCAGGTTCAAGTCCACCGCATCCACACCTCAACCGACAATGCTCAGAAACACACACACACACACACACACACACACACACACACCAGCTCAGTTGGTTGTCCCTCTGGTGTCCACAAAACCAACCCAAACAGGGTCCTGAGCCCCAAAGAAAGCCACTTCAGAACATCGGAAGTTTGGGGACAGCTACGTAAGTTGCAAAAACACACCTGCGAGAAGGCAACACGTATCTGATTTCGGATTCAGTAACGGAGAGCATTCCCCGCTGTGAGCGGCATGCGCAGCGGAGTTCGCTCACGCCGAACTTCAGGCAGGCACTGTGCACAATGTGCTTGGCGGCTGCTAGGATCACCTGGACATTGATTTGTCAAGGCTCAGGCAAGAAACCCATTTGAGTCACTTGCTCAAAACCCGGTATTAAAATACCACGTAAAGAATTAAGAAGGCGGCCGCAACTATTTCTGGCTGGGACTGTTCCTTACTAACCTTCATCTACCCGGGTTTTGATTGTGGTTCATTTGGGAAGACACGCCCACATTGCAGCCTCTGGGTCGTTGCCGCAAAAGTGAGCAACTAGAGGTCTGTCCTGAAATCGTTGGCTCGAACAAGTCAGGCCCTATCTGCACTCCTGTCCTGTTGGCAGGTTTGAAACCCATTTGCTGGATCAGCACGGTATGCTTCATCATTCGCGAAGGGGCCAGAGTAGATCCTGGCGAATTGAGAATGAGAAGCAGGCCACGCTCAAAACATCAGATGCAGTCATGGGAGTGTAGCACAGCTGGGTACCAAATCGGCGCGCCATCATCCTGCAAGCTTCGCCCGCGACATGTCAAAACTGGGTACCCCCAAAATGATGGTTGTCCTTGTGGTTTCCCTTCTTGTGGTTTGAAACCAAACCCTAAATCGGCTACCAACTCCAAAAGCGCGAGGCTCCTGAACGGCAGCTCGGAGCCCCCGACCATCGGAGCCATCACATATCGATGGGGAGGCAGGCGAGGAGAACGATCTGCAGACGCAAACAAAGCTCTGAGAAACGCCGGGGGCCGGGGGTCGTTTCGCGCCTTCGGACAAAGGCCTGGGCACGCCGCCTCCACGAAAGGCAAGCGCAAGGAGTCATTTGGACTGGATGGTACGCGGCCTTCAAGCTTTGCCTTCTTCACGTCTTGCTCTTGCTGCTTCTTTCGCTTTGCAGGCCGCACCTCGTCTTTTGGGGCCTTGCCTCACCCTTTGGCATCAGCGACCCAGAAAGTGTCCCACTCAAACGTCAGCGCCTCCTCTGTGGATAGAACCTCAGGGAGCAAAGAGCCCTCTTTCACCGGCCGCAGTGCGGGTCTCAGGCAGACTTTGTTCCGTCGTCCCATCTCACCTGTGTTGCCCGCCATGTTCAGCAGACATGTGCTTGACTGAGCACCTGCCTTCAGCTTGTCATCACGGTACTTCAGAAACTCGCAGCGGTACCAAGCCTCTGACGTCAGTGCTGTCAGCAACGCGCCGCGTTTTGCTGTGCCTCATCAGAGCGCCAGTACCCCAGCAGCTTTGCTCCGGGGGCCAGAGAGTCCATAAGCCATACGAAGGAACAGGAGACATTGCAATTGGGAGATTTGGAAAATGTGCGGCGTTTCTGTAATTCTGCATGTGTTCGGAAGCTATGAGCTATGAATGTTCATTCAAATCTATGTGTTCGCCTCTGCTCACTAGTTGAAGAGGAAAACTCCTGGCAATCGCTTGGCTTCCACTGATCCTTGAAGCGACAAGGCATCTGCCCGCTTGCGGCGCGCAGTCTCTGTTTTAAGCCTCTCATGCCCGGCTCAGCAGGAAGCTGACGATGTTCAATGACCCGAGTGCAACAGCCGACTTCATCACAGCCGCGCTGATCTCCTCCGAAGGCAAGGGCCGGTAAAGGGCCCGATGAGCAAATATGTATACATGAGGCAGAGCAAAACATGGCACGCATTGGAATCGCGGGATGTTTTGATGCTATTCCAGCTGGTCTTGGTGGCGTGTTGCTTGGTTCTGGTCTTTCGGCAACAAAAGCTCATGTGTCAAGCCAATCAGCAACGTCAATCTCCAGCTGATCGTACGATGGCTGCCCTTGAAAATCCTGCTTGGCACTTGGAGCTGGTAAAGGATACGCGCTCGAGGCCTTGACGGGCTCCGCATGGGCCTCACGGGGCTCACGGGGCTCCGCCCTGCTCAGAGATGGAAGACTTGGAGTCGCCCTGCTGGAAGTTGGGCGATCGGCCCTAGTCGCCCTGCTTGGAGTCGACGTCCGCTCTGCCCTGCTTGGAGTCGACGTCCGCTCTGCCCTGCTTGGAGTCGACGTCCGCTCTGCCCTGCTCGGAGTGGACGTCCGCTCCGGTTTGGCCTCGGGTCTCGGCTTCGGGTTGGAGTCTCTGCCATCTCTCGGAAGTTTCGGATCTCGGGACCTGGACGCCGCGCTGGAGGCGCTGCTTGGTCGCGACGCCCGCGGCGTCGACCTCCGTGCAGCTTCAGACTCCGCCCCCAGAGGCCTCACGTGAGGCCTGTCCACCTCACTGGTCCGTGCCAGCGGAGCATTGCAGCGCTTTGCATGCTTCTCCAGCGCCTCCGCAGAAAATCTGCGCTTGCAACGGTTGCACTCGTGAAGATCAGTGAAAGCACCAGTGCCATCCCCGTTGTGGTGCTTCATGACCAAAGGAGGGAGCTTGGTACTGCCCAAGCCTCCTTCGCGTCTGCCCAAAAGCTCCCTCACATCTGGGATGTGGTGTTCTCCCGGCGTCCCCCCGAGCAACTTTCTTGCAGCATCAAACTTGGCGGTTCTGGGCTTTGACTCTGGGCAGCGTGTTTCATGCTTGGCAATCCGGTCAAAGCGGAACTTCCGGTGACAATAGCAGCATTCCTCCAGAACGGCTGATGTTGTCGAAGCTGCCGTGTCAGGTTGGGCGACTTGTTTCCCGTCCAGAATATCGAGAAAGACCTTAGCCACATGCAAACCTGTTTGTCGAATGGAAGAATCTCTTGGCGGGGCACCTGCAAAGTGCTCTCTGCCAGCTGGCATGGAAGCATCAAATGCGGCTCTGGATCCGTTCCTGGGGAAAAAAGAAGAAACCGCTGCTGCCAGTCTTCATCACTCCCGGTTTTTTGCGTCGCCTGTCTTGCTGGTGTGCATCACCGACTCAAAGCCAACAGCCTAGAAGGCGGGCGGCACCGATTCTCTTTGGAGGAAACTCGCATGGGGAAACCAAGAGGAAACCTGCCACCTGAGACCTTTCTTTGGATATGATCCAAATTCAACCACCAGGGGACCGCAGGTTTTAGTCCCGGGTTCCATTTACCAGGGCTCCATTTTGGGGTTACCCTATTTTGACCACCACCGCCATATCGCTTGAGCACAAAACCTTCCGCTCTGGTTCAAACCATTCAGGCCTCCAGCATCCGGATAGACGACTGCCAGCGACCGATGGCCTCAGCTCCGTTCTCGGATGGGAAACGTAAGGAGTAGACACGGCTGTTTGGGGAAGTCGTGAAGTCGCATGCCTTTTGCTTTCTGTCACAATTCTTATCCAAAGTGTCGGAGCCTGGTGGATGGCATCAAATGACACGTTTGCTGCCGACATCAGAAACAGCAAACTGCAATCCATGCCAGCCTCGGCCACCGCCGGATTTGACAATCGAAGTCTTCGGTACTTCTTCTCCTGCGCAAGTCGGTCTGTCGGTTCTGCCAAACACGCATAGACATTGACGTTGTTGTGGATGCTGCTTAGGTTCCGAAGGCAAATAGCCACAAACCGTCCACAATGCGCGAGGTGCGTTCATCTGCCAGGCATGTGTTCTATTTGAGCCGCAGTGAGAGAGTGCGCTCTCCGCAATGTCCCACACTCCATACCGGTTGCCCCAACCCCCTCGCTTCAGTGACTTCCGAGTCAGAAACCTTGCATGTGTGCCGCCCCTGTGACTCCGTTCGGGCATGGACACAGCAGGAAGCACATATGGAGAGCATATGGAACGGATAAGTCTGGCCGCCCGGCACGTGTCGCAGTTCGCACCTTGTGGGGCGTGGCTTGGGATTCATGGATCAGCGAAGTGGGCGGGCAAAAGGCGGGTGTGAGCTTTACTTTGCGTGAGTTCGGGGCCGGTTTTGCAGCCTGCAAGTCGCGCAAACGTGAACAGATCAGCACGAAACTGGTTTGGTTGATTCTGTAAGTTGCTTGGCGTTTGCTAGGATGAGGCCATTGGAGAGGAGATTCAGGAGCTCTCTGAAGACCCTCTCAGCAAATACAGGTCAATGACTTCCAACTTACTTCCAACACATAGTCTATTGAAGCCGATCCAACTGGTCCAGTTCATTGAGTTGTCCATTCGGGAAGGACCGACTCGTACGAATTTGCCGGCGCGAATTCGGCCGCGGCAGGTCTGAGCTGCGCTTGCAAAAGAACTCGTGGTGTCTGTGAGAACCGCGAGGCTTCTCAGCGGCTATCCGAGACCGAACGCCTTTTCGAAACCGGGAGCCTAGCGGCAACCGTCGCCATGTGGCGAAAAAGTGACACGAAACGCAAAATCGGCCACCACAAGCCCTTCAAGCCCTACCCAGGCCTCCAGAAAGCAAGCGTTGCGTGCTACGTCTCGCAGCCGGTCAATACTGAGCGCCAGCAAGCAGCCTCAGTCGAACGGCGGAACCTCGGCGGAACCCCATGCCCCCGAGAATCTTGCCGGATGAACAAACCCCCAGTAAACTGATGGCGGTTGCCCAGTCCAAAAGGGGTATTGTTTTGAGGGAGCCCGGATATGAATCTCCCAGGTCAATTTGCGTAGGGGCAGGACTAGACTCGGCTTCATCGGCGGCAACCTCGCGTTCCAGCGCTCACTGACGGAGTTGTGAGCAAATCGAATTCCGCTGTTTTCACGGGCTCGTGGTGCTACTGATTACAAGTAGCGCTTGGCAAACACATGACGGCCCGACTCTCAAAAAGCGATTCGTGCACCTTCAGGATCTCCTGCTTCAGATCTGCAAAGGCTTGCGCCAGAGATACCTTCGCGCTTTCGAGCACTTCCCGCGACCGACTGCATTCCTGGCCCCCGGCAGGAAGGCCGCCGTCCTCGGACCAAAGACGAACTGAGGACACATGAGGGTGTCGTACCCTTTCTTTAAGACGACCTTTGGTTGTTTTGGACGGAACCCTTCACGATGGCTTAAATGGCGCACCGGTTGGATCTACCAATGGTTCGACACGGTTGTGACATGCCCATGTTGGACAAAACACGAATCTTGGGCTGCAGCCTCCCCAGCACTTGCGTCAACGGAAGTCATGGCATCAGGTCGCGAGACATGACCATCCGTACTCAATCGCTGACGGCAAGCCTCCTGGAATGGTAATGCAAATCGGAGGCACAGTGGGCATCGGAAGGCCATCCGTCCTCATGAGATAGCACTTCCGTCAGCCCCAAACCTGCATCAGTTTTGTCGCGTCTGCGCGCGTGGCTTTCTCCAAATGCCTTGTTGTCCACAAATGGAGCAAAGAAAAAATCCGCGCGGGTCGAGGCCTTAGCCGAAGCACAAAGACTGAGCGGCAGAGGGGACACAGCTGAGGATAACACTCCCGATTTCACCAGCCTCGCAGCACGGGCTCGGTGGAACGTCCCAAGCCAATGTGACAAATGCCTCGATCTTCGCCAGCGTGACACGCAGCACCTTTCCCTTCTCCTGTGCCAGATCCAGCTGGCCACCATCTTGACACAACCCGCTCAACTCCAAAGCAAAACAATTTTTCGGTGCACATCCGGATCGCAGGCCTGCCAGGTCTTGCGTAACCCTTCGGACCCTTCGGATGCTGCCTGCCGCTGGCCAACCGAAAAAAAAAAAAAAAAAAAAAAAAAAAAAAAAAAAAAAAAAAAAAAAAAAAAAAAAAAAAAAAAAAAAAAAAAAAAAAAAAAAAAAAAAAAACGAGCCGCAGAACTTCTCGGCGCCTCGGCTCCCCGGGCTCTACACCGGGCCGCGTGCTCCTTCAGGTCCTCCTTCCGGACCTCGCTGGACTCGAGCTGCGGATTTTGCTTCGATCCGGGGATCCGGGGATGGGATCCGGGATGGGATCCAGGCGAGCCGGCCGCAGGAAGAGCAAGTATCCAGCTGCGCCAGCGTCTGTCCTTGCATGAGCCCCCCAGAAGCAACATACACGCTGAGGCGCTGGGATCCGGACTTGCACAAGCCTCGACGCAAACCACTGCACAGATCTTTTGGCAAGCAACTTGAGACTGAGCTCCCAGCCTTTATGTGATACTTTGCCGAATTCGCCAAGAAGCTTTGGCCTCGGAAGCAGCTATTTGCCTGCTCGGATCCTTGCTTCGCGAATCGGTGCTGGTTGGTTTCCAATCTCGGGGAGCTGCTGCATATCGGGCAGCACTGCCCTGGCGCAAAGTCTACTCACTTCGAGAAGGAAACCTCCCACAAATGGGTGTGGCTGTGGCTCAAAATTGAAGAGCCAGGGTTACGCGGGATATAGTCTTTGGTTCCATTTGCCAAGGGTGCCATTTTGGTACATGTTTTTGAGCCACAGCCAAATCTGGTTGCTGCCTTTGGCGAAGAACGCCATGCCATCACACGCGCAATGCACTGCAAGCCGCCCCGGTGAAAGCTACCGCTCGGTCTGTGCGAAAAGCTTGGAGCAATGGTCGAGTTGCCGTCAAAGTTTCTTGAGCCGCTGCGCGTCAACGTCTTGCATCAAGTAATTTTGGCTCCCACATCACGGAAAAAAAAAGGCCAAAGGCCGATCATTCAGGAACATGTGCTTCTCATGCACAACGTCAGTGCAGGTGCTGCTTTTCCTTGAGTGCTGCCTTCTTGGCAACCCCTGCCAGAAAGCCTTGGGCCCTCTTCAACGCCATTTCGGCTCAGATCACAAGCACATTGACTTGCGAGTCACTTTTCTCTGAAAGGATAATTCAGAGGCAGCAACCAAAATCCGGAAAGTCTAGAAGAACAGCAGCCAGAAGGCGGAGCCACCTCTGACAGTGGCTCCATTTCAAGCTCTTGTCGTTCCATCTCTTTGTGGCTGCATGCAGACTCCACCACGTGATATGTCACCGCGTGAATCACTTCCGCAGCCAAGAGGATCCACGTGCCATTTTCCAAGGAGACAACCACTCCATACTTTGCATACATTGACATGCAAACGGTGACTAAATAAACTCCAACCATTGCTACATCCAGCATCGAGAGCTTCCGCAGCACTCGCGCTGTGTCTATCAAATACTGTCCGGAATTCATGGAGGTGTACCCCCCGTCCAAAAGAAATTGGAATGCAACCACAACCAGGCAAATCATGTCAAACATGGTGCTACCAACGACACAAACCACCAGCAAAGCCAGCGAGATGAAGGTGTTGGCCTCCCATTTGGAGATTCTGGCGATGTAGTCTCTGATGCACGTCACCTCTGCCCGGTGGATTCCCGTCTTGGTTGGTTGAGTTTAAAGGGCAGAACCCTTCGCCCAAAGAAAAAAAGGAAAAGGGCGACACTAGGCAACTGGGTCACAATGCTCGTCTCAGAAAACAGCAGGTCCTTCAGGTCCAGAATGTCGATCGCAGGCTTCGCGGACTCCGGAAGCGGTCCGTAGGGCGGAAAAAGCTGCTTCGGCTCAATGTGAAAGGACATGCAAGGGGAGCAAAGCCCATGGAGGAAAAGAGGCACGAAGGCCACTGCTAACCTGGATGCGATGCAATGCCAAAATTGTGGCGCAAAAAATGGGACCCAAACTAGCACCTGTGTAACTGGTGAAGTTTGAGCGACACCCATATGCGAAAATCAAGTGCCAAAACAAACATGCGCAAGCAACTAGAAACGTACTACGTTGCTAAGGCTGTCGGAGAGCAAGCCTGCTACCAAAGCGACGCCTTTCTCACCAAAGTAGCGAAGCACAATCGGTGCTTGGGGGCGATCTTCAACCTGCTTCACCTCGTCAAAAAACTGGACATACATGGCTATGGGTCAAAACCCCCGTACCCCCAGTGAACATCCCAGTCCCCAAAATGGGTGGTGCACCTACCCCAAAAATGGTACCATCGGTGTTGACCCACGGCCACATCATCAAGCCACCGGATAACAGTCAAGGAGCTGGATATACTTCATATGTCCAAGCTGAGTAACAATGAACGGGCAAAACATGTGCTTTGTCATGAACGTTTTTGAGTGGTGCCCATGACAAGCGTGGCTGACAAGCTCGGCGGATTTCAAGGCCTGAGGCAGCGGAATACCCAAAGACGAGACGGTGGCCGTCACCACGAAAGTGCTGAAGCAGGAAAAACCGATTTCCAGCCTGGGCCGGCAATTCAAGGCGGTCCGAAACATAAAATTGGAATGTCCAGACATGGCTTCAAGAAATAATACGCATGCATGGGGGTGTTCGCCTCCAAGTGATACATCCCACTAAAACCAGAAACACCCCCCTATTGATAAACTGGGGTTGACTAATATGGGGGGCACAAATCAACATGTAGCCCTCCCCAGCCTTGCTCTCGCTAGAATAAGTGGATCATGTTGGATCGTGCGCACAAGGTTCACCAAGAGCACATAGGCAAACATATCTGGAGATGCCCATTTGGAGCGATGCTGAACCCACATAATAACATATCGGAACACTTCGGCGCATCTTGCGGAGGTAAAGCGGAACATCTCACCAAGGACAAGCATGATAAGCTCAAGCGCAGGTATCACCATGGAGAACAGGATGACCAGAAAGGCCCCAATTCTGGACCCGGTGGTCCAGAGAAGGTGAGCCAAGCTCCAAGCCGTTTCCGTGCAAACCGGATGGCCTTCTTCTGGCTCGACCGTCTTCCTGTGACCAATCACATTGATGATGATGCTGAAGCTGAACACAGGGTTTGTTAATCCTGGAATCAAAAGCAAATAGCTGGTGAGCAACAAAAGCAGTGACCAAAACCTCGGTCTTCCATCCATCACTTTCCCGCGGCACCGGGCATCCAGAAGCAAGCCCAACGCAACTGAGGCGGCCACTGAAAATATCACCAGAAAGACCAGCCAATTGATCTGCGTAGGTGAATCACCCCCAAGTTCTGGTGGGACATCGTAGTCCGGCCTGTTTAGGCCAGAATAGACTTCGTGGATTCCCGCAGACACCGTGTCTTCAATCTCCTTGATTTTTGATGTCAGCGACATGGCTCGGCACCGTATGTTAAAAGTTGTGGGCCATCTGAACCCGAGCCAAAACGTTTGCAAACGCAAGAGAAGGAGCGGAAATGATGAACGTTTCCATGGGCCGAAAACTTGTAATGATGAATGTTTCCCCAAAGGGAAAAACGGGTGCACATGTGTCTGATTGTGTTCCCGGGATAGACTAGCGATAGGCCATGCGCCACTCACAAACGGGCCTGGTAGTCCCCGAAAGGGACAATGCACAAAAGTCGGGGCCCAAATGTGTCTGGGAAAGGGGAATCCCAGGAGTACCGCGTTGGTGGAAATCTGAGAGCGCTCGGGCCAAAAGAGAAGCATCATCGGAAAACTGAGATTTTTTCAGGCGGCGCTTTTGCCCAAGGCACGCCGGAAACTTGCGCCTCTCCTGAGTGCTGCGAGTTTTGAAGGCGAGCCGACGAGGAGAGGCGCGCATATGTGTGGAGCGCAAGAGTACTTGAATGGTGAGGCGATAAGGATCGGCCTACCCAACAGACCTGCAGAACTCGAGTCGCAGATTTCCGCATGTTCTCAAGTTCAAAGACATGCCATTTGGTTCCCCCTCAAGAAATCAAGAACCCCCTCCCCCACTTAAGCCATTTCCAAGTTGACGCTTGCGACCTCTCTATTTGGCTGCGCTCCTAGCCTGGCGCTTTGGCCGGCTGCCATTCCAATGTATATAGTTGCTCGAACTTCTAGCAAGCAGGCTGGCATCGCTCAAGCGCGTGGAGAATATACCTTGCATTTGCATTTTGCTGGTTTCTGACGAATCAGAAGCTGTTCCGCTTTTTGCAATCAAAAGCTTCGGTCAGAAAGCTGAGGCACATGACGTCGTCAGGTCCTCAATTTGCCCAGTTCAGAGAGGGGTACAGTGCGTTTTGTTTGCAAGGCTCTGTCAAGTTTTATAGCAGTCAAACGCCCAAAGGATTAAGAATTGGCATGTGAAGCGTCGGTGCAGTTCTTCTGCCAGCTTACATTCCATATGCTGGGCACCAAAGGCACGACAGCAGCTCAAGGGCTACTAACAATAGCCGAACGCTGCACTGTTTGCTGAACGTGCGCAGCGCAGCTGTACTCATGCGCTCAAGTGTTCGGTGCTAAAGCAGGAGACCTGCGGCCGCACAAGCCATTGAACCGTAGTCTGCAAGCGCAGTGCCAGTAGCCAATCCTGTACTTCTGACAGCCATTCAATAGAGCGACCAAACTGAAAATGACAAATTGTCGTAATATGGGGCTGCAAACCGGGCTTCCGCAAGCTTCGGCAACAAAACTTGCGAGGCTCCAGACGTTCCACGAGCTTCCGCATTGTTAGCCCGCTGGCTCAATCTGTTCGGTTGTAAATCAAAAAAGCTGAGGCTGAGGCGCACTCGACTCAGGCCACGCGAGAACTTTGCACGGAAAGACTTCAAGCTCCACAGAGGCCCGGAGTGCAGCCTGAGGGTTGCGCGAAGCACGGCAGGAAGTGGTCCCAAAAGCTCAAAAGCGCTCTGAGATTGAGGGCGATTCATCGCTAGCATATTGCTTGCTCAGGCCAGAAACACGTTCAGTGATTCAGGGCGGGGGGGCCATGATGATACATGCAACGCGCAAAGAAGCGTGCCAGAAATATGAGGCATTCGCGCTGCACACTGCAAGCTTGGAGCGGCTGTTCTTAATTCCTGCAACTCTTTGGGTGCAAAACAGCAGCACATGTCCTGACTTGGGAGCTGGGCTTTGGGGCTCTCAGCCCCAATATCAGTTGCTCGTCCCGAGCAGTGCAAACCTCCAGTTCAACTTGCCTTACTACAGACTTAGCTTGCAAGAAGAAATCCGCTGGTCTGACGTTGTACGGAAAAAGCAAAGCGATTGCGAATGCCACTCAGATCGTTCCAAATAGCAACTAGGTTGCGACTAGGTTGCCACGAGAACCCTAAGCCTGAGCAGGATTCGGGCAGCCCACACTGGACTCACTGGACTGTACCAAATACTCGCGCAAAGAGTGGCCGGGAAACAACCGAGAGTCAGGCAGCATCCACGAAGTAGGGTTGCATGTGGAAGAAGGGGGTACGGATTTGAAGTCTCACCTCACAGCCAAAGCCTGCTTTTATGCACTAGATTTCGCGAACTGCCGCAAGGCACCGGAGCAGATGTGCTCCAAAAGCAACCAAACAAAGCATGCGGTCGAGCTTGCTGAATGTGCTCGGCTGTGCTCATGCGTTCAAGTGTTCGGCGGCAAGGCAGGAGACATGTGGCCGCACAAGCTATTGGACCGCGGTCTTTACGTAGGACACAATAACAGCGCCATACGGCAAATCCGCTGGCCACATTTCTCGCACTCCGATCTGCAAGGGCCGGCCACAGGCGACCGTCCAAGCCAAAGGGGACGCACGAAGAGGCTCGGAGGGAGCAATGAAGTCCCTGATGCCAGGTGTGGAAATTTGTTTGGGATGTTACTTACTGAACAAACCCCTACTCTTGTAGCTCCAGCGTGCGCGCTGTGTGCTGCGATTGCACTTCCACCGGGACTTGCGCCTCATGCGTCTCAAAACGGTGCAATGTGCCAGTGGCCTTGACAAGGAAAGCTGCTGGCCAGGACGCTGAAGTCTGCATTTCCAGAAGCACTCAACTCATTACCAAACATGGCACAGGCAACTTGAGGAAAGGAACATGCAAGAAACCAATCCTGGCCAGCATGTGCATGGGCGCTGGACTGGCCATGAAGCAGCAACTAGGGTGCCAACGCAACTGGGTTGCCATTGCTTCTTCCGAGGCCCTTTTTGGGGAACCCCAAGCCTGAGCAGGATCTGGGCACACTCTGGACCCACTGCACTGCACCCTGCCAAATACTCGCGCAAAGGGTGGCCGGGAAACAACGGAAAGTCAGGCAGCATCCACGAAGTAGGGGTTCATGTGGAAAAAGGGCAGGGCACCGGAGCAGACAGGTGAGCTAAGACAAGCAAAATATGCACTCGTGTTTCGCCTGAACTAGAGTGTGTTGTATTTGCAAGGCTCTGCCAAGTAGAAAACAAGGATGGATTGGCATGTGAAGCATCGGTGAAGTCTTCTGCCAGCTGTCATTCCATATGCTGGGCACCAAAGGCACGACAGCAGCTCAAGGGCTACTAACAATAGCCAAAAGCTGCACTGCTTGCTGAACGTGCGCAGCTGTGCTCATGCGCTCAAGTGTTCGGCACCAAGGCAGGAGAAGCGTGGCTGCACAAGCTATTGGAACGCGGTCTGCAAGCGCGGTGTCAGTGGCCAATTCTTTGCTTCTGACAGCCATTGAACAAAGCAGTGACTAAATTGTCACTGCAAGCCGCGGGGCTTCCGCAACCTTCCGCGACTTTCGCGGCGACACACCTTGCGATTTGCTCCGCGGAACCTTCCGGAAACTTCTGCGCTCTGAGCCATTCCTTCTGCAGAAGCCCTTCTGGCGCTAGTCTTGGGTTTCTTCATGGGTGCTCGCGGGAAATTATGAGGTGCGACGATTGCACTTCCGCCGGCACTTGCGCCTCAGCACGCGTCTCAAAACGGTGGCCTTGACAAGGAAAGCTGCTTGCCAGGACGCTGAAGTCTACACTACCAGAAGCACTCAACTCATTCGAGTTGTTGTTTGTGCCGACTTGCCAAACATAGCACAGGCAACTTGAGGAATACGGAATAAATCAATCCTGGCCAGCATGCGCATGGGCACGGGACTGGCCATGTTGAAGCAGCAACCAGGTGGCCAATGCTTCTTCCGGGGCCCTTCTTGGGGAACCCCAAGCCTGAGAAGGATCCGGGCAGCCCACACTGGACCCTGCCAAATACTTTCAAAAATGGCCGGAAAACAACCGAAAATGTGGAAGAAGGTGATACGGATTTGAAGGCTTGCCTCACAGCCAATGCCTGTTTTTTGTGCACTAGAATTCGCGAACTGCCGCAAGAGTGGGCGCTGGAGCAGACACGCGAGCTCCACAGGCAAGCAAAACATGCACTCGTGCTTCGCCTGAAATACGGTGTGTTTTATCTGCAAGGCTTTGCCAAGCAGCAACAGCCCAAAAGAAAACAAGGATGGATTGGCATGTGAAGTGTCGAATTCTTCTGCCAGCTGTCATTCCATATTCATATGCTGAGCGCCAAAGGAAACACAACAGCAGCTCAAGAGCTACTCACAACAGCCGAAAGCTGCACTGCTTGCTGAACGTGCGCAGCTGTGCTCATGCGCTCAAGTTAGAATCTTGGTCACTGCTTCCAGCCTAAAGGGACATGCAGGGAAAAAAGCGACCGACCGGAGCAAACTCGATACGCGTTTATTTACTTGAGCGTTGCTTAGAAGTGCAGGCTCTGAGATGCAGGTGGAGTGACGATGCGCGTCCACTCCATCTTCCTGCATCTCATGCGGAGCCTGTCGGAATACCCCCCTTAGGTCAACATTGCGTGTTCGACCATCACACAGGGTGTTTTACCCCTGGGGTGTGAGACAAAAAGAGTTATGTTGCACATATATGCACTGCGTGCATGGGTGTGCATGGGAGGATGCGTCCTCCTGCGGGCCCGTCCGGGCCGGACAGAATGCCGATGGCATTCGTTAATGTGCGATTGCGTGCACAGCGTGGGCCTTGCTGCGTATGCTCGAAATGGTCCTGCGGGAGAAGCGAGATGCAGTACGCCAACGAAATGTTGGAAGCTGACAAGCTTCCATTCGTGCGGGTGCATGCGTCCCTCAATCAGGCCTTGTGGAGGCTGGATGCCACCTGGGCCGTGAAAGGGTGGGAGGGTGGGTTCAAAAAAGAACGAAAGAGGGGTCAAACCCTCCAGGCATGTCCCTTACCAAAAGGCTTGAAGCAGAAATGGCCACGCGGCCGAAGATTCAACCAAGATTAAAACACAGGGGAAAAGACAAACCCCTAGCATTAGAATCTTGGTCACTGCTTCAAGCCTAAAGGGACATGCAGGGAAAAAAGCGACCGACCGGAGCAAACTCGATACGCGCTTTTTTACTTGAGCGTTGCTTAGAAGTGCAGGCTCTGAGATGCAGGTGGAGTGACGATGCGCGTCCACTCCATCTTCCTGCATCTCATGCGGAGCCTGTCGGAATACCCCCACTTTAGAGTTCTAAGCAAACGGTCAAATCACCTTACC